GAATTATGTAGAAAATGCATATGTATGTGTGTATATACACATATGTATATATATATATATACATATGCACATACATATATATAAGCCAGTGCAAAAATCTAATTAAAAGTACCCTAAAATAAAAAGTTCATTCTTTCTTAGTCTGATGGAAGAGAAGATGGGTGTACAACATTCCAGTGACAGTTGAAAGTGAGTAAAAATCTGTGTAACTTAACATAAACTGGAAGGAATGTAATTTAAAAAAAAATTACTGAAACACACGAGTCGTAAAGATTACTTTATACCTTCAGTAGAGTTTCTCTGTTGTCTGATAAGCATGACTACAGGTGGAAATGTCTGTGTCTGCACACATATATGCAAAAATACGCACTTGCAAAAGTATTATCCATCTTTGCTCACTTTTAAATACCATAATATTTGATGGTGAATGTATATTTAATTCATAACAATAACTACTCTTTAAAGAAATCAATGAGTCAACTTCATTAAGCAGAATACGGACGGTAATACATTCCACACATTAAAAGAAGATTAATGAACTGCTGAGGAGCTCCCTTCTGTTCTCCCCAGTGAATGTGTAGCTGCTGCAACAGGGAACAGATATAGGAAATAGCTCTCAGGCTTTTCAAATAAAGTTGTACTCTGTCTTGTATGCAGGCCAGGGCCTATACATTGAATAAATCATCAGAAGTGTATTCCAGTTCTTTTAAAGAGAGCACAGTAGTGCTCTCTATTTTTTATTGATTGCATTTTGCAGGGGAAAATTGAATCCATTTCTTGTCAAGGCCCCTAAACCTCATATCATAAAGAAGAAAGAAAAGGAAAAGATGGATGGAGTTCAGTGGAATTAGCCAGAAAGAATGATGTTTCCTATTGTGTGATGATAAATTTTATTTTTTCATCTTGCCTGTATCAAGTGATAGGTAGCAGCTGAAGTACTTTGAAGTAATAATCTTCAAAGACTTCTTTTAGCAGAATTGAAAATAAGCTTATTGGAGAGTTGTCTCCATACTAGATTTTCTGCCAATTATCAGTCAAAGGCTCTTTCCTGTATGAAAGTTAACTCAATAGAAAGGCAAGTATATGTACAGTATCTCAGTATGTGTGCTATAACACCTTTAAACATTTTATTTTAGTAAAATGCATTTTTTTTAATAACAGAAAATAAATTCTCATTATATTCAGGAAGTCAATAGAAATTATCTTTCAAATTAGAGTATTCTGACAGGTGCTATGGTCTCTCCTATGAGCTAGTGAAAGTAGCACTGAATTGATTTTTATGTGCAAATTAAGAATCAGGATATTTTATAAGGAACCATTTGAAAAATATTTTTGTGTTGATTATGACTGGTTTTGCTTTATTTTCTTTGGAAAGTTTCAAATCCATCCCTGTAGGCTTTAAACTAGAACTCAGAGGTATTGGTTGAAATTGCCTATTAGCAGACATATTGCATTCAAATTAAAAAAAAAAAGAGGATTTGATTTATAGCTGGCTTTTTGAAGTGCAGGATGTATGTTTTAGCAGAAGGAAAACATTAATAGAAGTTGTGGGAAAACACTTAGAAAAATAAATTATTAAAACTGAAATTCCCAGCAGCCTTTTCCTTATTTACTGATTAATGGATTAGTTAACACAAATGTGGGTGCATTCTGTATCAAGTATAATTTTAGGTAGAATGAATAAAAAACCCCAAAACAATCAAACAAAAAAGCCTGAATGAAGGGAGCTACTTTGAATTACAAATAACAAATTGCTGCAGGAATGATTGTTTTACTGATCATGCAATCAGCCATTTGCGTATCAGTCCCACCAAATAAACTGTGTCTTTGTTCCAAGCACAAATTTTTAACGAGAAAGTGAATTAAGAGGAAGATGATATATGTTGAACCTTACATGTGCGCTGTTATATATAGTTTGTTAGTGAAATGAGACTCAGGCACTTACTGCAAATTTCTGGAGTTCAGTAAGATCTTTTTCTGCAGTGTCTGACAACGGATATATTACATACTGTTAGCAACCTTTTCCTAGATTTATTTCATCTTACTTCTGTTAAGATGTTCTGTTCTTTTGCTTTTCTTGCATTCCAAATAATTTATTTTTTTTAATTCCAGCGTCATGTGTTGGGTTGTTTGTGGGTTTTTTTCCCTTGCTGCAAGTCCTTGGATTTTTTGAATCTGTTGCAATTGTCTCTAGGAGAAAGTTATTGAGGAGGAAGGGGAAAGTGAGACATAAATAATATTATAAAACTCTTGAGTCTCGACTATAAAACACCACTTGACCACAAATATTGTAAGCAAGATCTAGTAATCTTTATCTCTTACTTTATAGCTAATCTCAACAAGTCTAATAAATTGCTGAAATTATCAATTCCAATATATAGATTAAGACATTCAGTATTTATTTATTTTACTATTTGTAGATTGTCTCCTTAATGTCTCTTTTTCTTTATATGTGTGTATTTTAGGTATATACTTCTATATGTATGACTCTGTATGTATAGAGGTGTCTGTAACATAGGTTCATATATATATATCTTTGCAACACATTTTTGGGTGATATTGCACAGGCACTCTGCAACAGTATTCTTAAATGTATAGTAAGATGTTTAATATATCTTCAGTGGACATAGTTTATTCATTAGTAAGCTTACAGTCTGAGGGAAATCCTCTTTTTAGAAATATTGAATCACATTTTGTATGAGAAGATTTTTTTTCATGGAATGCACAGTCACCAATTTGGAAAAGCATTTATTGGTACAATTAACTTTAAATTTAAAAAAAAAAATAAAAAAAAAGATTTAAATTTTTCAAGGGTAACAGTGTCCTGACCAGAGTCATAAAGTCAGTGATAGATTTGGGGACAGAATCTGCAGCAATTTTAAGTCATGTCACAAGACCAAAGAAATGAACTGATTTATACTGTTATGGGGCTTGGGAATTCATAGGGAACTCTGAAACATAAATGCTTTTCAGTAGGCAAAGAGGTAACAATTAATGTGGCTTAACTAAATGTCCTGAGCTCCAGTGCTCATAGGCTTCCAGTGGGCCAAGTACTCTGTCCATTGGATAGGGAAACGGTAACATGAGAAGAAACAAAATCAAGCTGAAAATTTCTTATCTAAGTGAATGACAGAGCTTCTAATGACTTCATGGAGCCACTTCTGGAAATAAGATCTGACACAAAGTCAAATTTAGAAAGTCTGTACATAATGCTTAATTACACAGCAGGTCAAACAGGATTTAAAAAAGATAAGAACCATCTTAAAATTATAATTAACATCTCCTGGTGCCTCAGGAAATTGTTTTTCTTTCTTAAGTAAATGTATATTTATTTATAATTATCTAATTGACAAAGAGACAGGTATATAGTGCAAGCTTATTGCTTACAGGAAATCTCAAGAGTTGGAAATTTAATTTGATATTGCTATAAAAAGCTATCTCTTGAGAGAGTAGTATCTTAAAACTACTTAAAAAAAACCCCTAAACCTTTCTGCAAAACACATGGTGTAGCAATTTTCTCCTTAACCTTTAAAAACAAGCCTATAAAATTTAATGTTGTGATTTCATTTCTTTAGTACCTGTTAACAGCCTCACTTTGTAAGTGGGCTGTCAACTCTTAACTTTCAATCCATCCTTATTTTTATTGTTTCTTTTTTTTCCTGGTAGCAGGGGGATAGAAAGTAGACCTACATAACAAATTTTGCACAGTGATGCCACTCAGGCCCCAGCTGCTTTTATTTCAGCTTGACTTGCCCATTTGCAAGAGAAGGAAATACACAGGTATTTCCTGTGTGCAATACCATAGCAGAGCAGGATCTGTATGACAGTGTTAACTTTCATAGGATTTATATACACATCTTTAACTATTTCCAAAAGGTTTTTTTTTCTCCCCTCTAGTTCCCTTTCCAATCTTGGCTTGCTGGTCTAGGTGTTTCAATTTAAGAAACGTTACTTAAGGCAACACAAAAGAAAAAGTTATTGATGAAACCAACAAAAAGCCTTTGCTTTTTGCTCAGCTGTATATTTGCTATTGCCTAAAATTATGATGATTTTCTGGGAAGGAAATTAAATAAATATTTACAACTGATTAAATTAGGTGAAAACCATGATTTATCATAAGTTATATCGTAAGATGTTTTGTATCACAATAAAATTTCTGACTATAGCCCATGGACAATTATTGTAGCAGTGTTCATCAATTTTAAAGTTTCTCAATGCATCTCTTTCTTAAAAAGGCATAGAAGACATTAATATACTATATATTTGATAGATTATATAAACTATTTGATGGATTAAAACAAGCATTGGAACAGGACAACTCTATGAATGTAAGTTTCTGTGTAACTGGCCACACAGTGTTTAGCTGAAATGTGAATTCCCTTGCACTTTAAGTTCATTATTGAACTGACCCAACTCATAAAGGTTATCTTACTGTAAGGGCCCACACCTATGAATTAAGATCTGCTTAACATGTGATAATGAGCACTACTGTGTATGCAGCCCCACCTTGGTATTACAATCCAAATAACTCACCAATGTCTTTTTCCCATGTAATCCTTTACAGCATCCATTTGGAAAGGGACATCTTTATTACCCTTATGAGAGGTATATACCTACTTTTGTTGGTATATTCTAGTTGTTCTTATTGCAGTGTGTTGTAATTAGTAAGAATCAACTTTATATGCTTGCATATTTCTATAAACGATCTTCTTTCTATGGAAGTGCAACTAGAGCGACATCTTAGAAACAAAGTATTTGTAGAAGATATTGGGTGTGCAAATAATTCAAGAGTCATTGCATACAAATAATGCAATGAGAAGGAGAGAGCATGAGGAATTTAAAGAAAATTCCCAAGGAAAGGAAGTGTGTTTCTTTAAATTTATTTTCTGGGTTAGTTAAATGTTATTGCTTTCTGCAATAGTCCAGTTTTCTTTTTGAAGTCATTGCTTCTTGTGTTAGGAAGTGACTTTCTAATAACAAATATGTTTTGTCTTTGGCAGCAACCATAGTGTTAAATGAACTCAACTGGACAGCAGCGTTGGATGATGTGTTCAAGAGGAACAGAGAAGAAGACCCCACTTTATTATGGCAGGTTTTTGGTAGTGCAACTGGCCTCGCAAGGTATTACCCAGGTAACTGAAGTCACCTTAACAACTGTCCTATGTCATATGTTGTCCTAAAAATATTCTAAATTATTTACAAACAGTAAAACATAACTAAGAATTGCTTTCTTACATAGCTGCAGTTATATATATCAGAATTAACTTAAGGATTTTGAAATTATTCTGGCGTAAAGCTAGTGTGAGGGGGAAGAAACTGGGAGTGAAATATGTAACTATTTTCTTTTTCAGTAAGAGGAAGAGAAGATTATGTCCTTTGAAACACTGAAGAGTCAAATTTTATTTTTGTATTGTTTCTATATGTTGTGTAAATAATCAGTTGAATATTTGCCAGTGAGATTTTTGTACCTTTCTAGTTTTGAAAATAGGGACCTGGGGACTAGGCATATAATCATATGTAATGCAAATACGAATGCACCGTGCTATGTTTATGTCCCTCAGAATCCACGATCTCTGACATGTTCATCTTTGGTGGTAGGGCCAATGAATGCAACTTGATTACTTCAACCAGCATCCGTTCCACCTGTCAAAGAATCTCATCACTGGATCACACTAATTAATTTAAATAGATGCATATTTCACTGAATTTAGACCATCAGTAGCCCTAATTTGATTTTTGTTGTATGATAGCTAATGGAAAGACTTAAAGCTTATGTATGTTTTATGGCAAGGCCTCTGCTGCTGCTGTTCTTGCTAAGTGACACTTTTATCAATGACAATCCACTACATGCAAGACAATTGTGTGCAGCATCTTGACTCATGCCTACAACTGCCTAGGGAAGAATTTTGAGATCCTTTCTCTTCTGTTTATACAAGATTGTTTGTGTTTCTGAAGGTGAAGGGGATTATTCTAAAGCTGTTACTGTATCATTAGCACAACTGCTAGCACAGGCAGAGAAACTGCCTCAGGCTATTTTGCATGAAGAATATTTCATAGCACTCGAATCCTGTTTGTTTTGTCATGCTGGATGATCATGAAATAAATACAGTGAGATTTTGTTGCAGAAAAAATAATATTGAAAATGCTAATTTCATATTTCTTTTGTTTTCCAAGTGTTCTGTTTCAATGCTTTTGGATCTCTTAGTGCTGTATTTGGGGTCAGTATTTGTCACTGCTTACTATGTGGTGTTTTTCAAGTGCTGAAAAAGTAGTGTTTCTTAAATGCATCTCTGTGCCAATCTCTAGGAAATTAATTTTCAAGTGTAAGATTATCTCATATACTGAAAAATATATTCTTACGTCTAGCTAACCTGTCTTCTCCAGTTGTTCAACAATACAACACAGGAGCGTCAGAATCTCTATGTATTCTTCCTTAAAGAACCTCTATAAAATGGGAGAAGCTTGTTTTCCCTGTTTTGCAGATGAATATGTTGCTTGTAGATATTCCACCTAAACACAAATTTAAATTTTGTATAAAACTCAGATCCTCACACCTCCTGCTTATTCCACAGCTAGTTATTTAAGTCTTTTTTAGCAGTCCAGTCCTGTCAGAATATGACTCCATAAATTTCTGGGTAATTCCCCAGTTCTTAAATTCTACGCACACAAACAAGTGTAGATCATTCTGATACTCCTTAGTTTATATGTCTGTTGTTTTGTGCAGCTGCTTCCCAGTTTCTTCCATTTGTTGCTCGAACTGTGATACAGATCGAGTCCAACTCTTATGCGAATGGCCAGTGTGGGGATTGAACCCCCAACCTTGGTGTTGTTAACACCATACTCTAACCAACTGAGCTAATTGCAGGGTCAGCCCTTTGTGTTAGATTTTTAGAATAGGTCTTTTTGCAATGTTATCTATGTTTCTCTTTTTGTAAACTCTTTTTTTTGCAGTTTGTTGATGCAGAGAAACGTTCTGGAAATTAATTCAAGTTTCATAAACTAAAATACTAAATACTTTTCACATTTTCATTATACTAAATGATATTATAAATTGTAAAACATTGCTTTATTATATTGGCCCATGGTAAGCCTTCTTCAAGGTGATGAATTTTTCCATAGTGATGATATTTGTACAAGAATTTGGAAATATCAAAAGCCAAAATTAAAATGCATAGATTAGTCTGCTCATTATTATCTGAAACATATCCATCCAGTCTTGCCTCCTTTATTAAAAAAAAAATGTTTTTTTATATCTCTAAGCTCACAGTTTTTGTGGACTAATGTTTGGTAACTTCCCACTGCCTTGAGTCATGGGCTAGATCTCTGTCCTATGGAGGCTCTTGGGCTGTCCTTGTCCCCACAGTAACCAGCAGCATGAAGGGATCTTTCTGTGAGCAACCCCATGGGTGGAAAGTATGTGTGACATATCACGGCTTGTTTGTATTTTATATATCTCATTGCTTCCTGTATATATTCTATTTTGTACTGTTGTACACTCCTCTAGCATCACATACATTATTGCATATGATTTTTCAGCTGTGATTTATCTGTCTCTTTAGTAAATTTGAGTTCCCTTGTCTCTATCAAGAGGACAAGACAGCTTCCTTCTATCACCTAGGCTGACATATCTGGCAGTTTCTTTCCTCAGACCTTGTTATTTATACACTATAATAAATGGTATTAGGCTTAAATACAATAGTAGTTAGAAGCAATGGAATAAGAATAGGAAACTATTTTACTAAAATAGCTGATAGGATTGGGTAGAGGAAGTAATGGTACCAAAATATTGGCTTCTTTTAATGATACAATTAGTCCATCAAATGTTCTGTATGCAAAATGTCATTTCTTACTGAGGGAAAAACCCCATTCTATGTGATGTTGCCTTTGTTCTGTTTTCAAGATAGAGACATACATGACAGAGAAGAGCCAAAGAGTTAAGATTCCTCCATGAGCCTCAAACATTTTTTTTTCACCATTTCTGGTTAGTGTTTTAATCAGCTTGATTTTAAGAGTCTGTGTGAGTTTACTCATACTGCACTTTTTCTTCTCTAGGATTTTTATGAAAGCTTGTCTTACCTAAAATATTTTTAAATATTAGGTTACTTAGTATCAACATTTTCATTAGTTTTAATGGGAGCATATTTGTGAAGAGAAGTGCTAAGCTCTGTCGCTGTACTGGCAACCATCTATTTTGATATGAAGACGTGAAGAACAATTTTGAGATTTCTATTATCTATTCTATGAGCTCTGAGCAACTCAAGAGTAAGTAAACAGAACTTTAATAAATGAGCTCAATAGAATAAGCTTATAAAGTGAATGGAACTTTTAAGAAGGATGTAATATATGCTCATTCTTATGTTTAAAGTTATATATCACAAATAAGTCTCTCATTCAAGAGATGGTTTCAACATTTTAAGAATGCGTTGTCCTTTTTACATACATTTATGAAGTAGTATCAGAATCAAGACAGGAATCTCTGTCTTCATGTGATAAAGATACTGATATAATCTTTAGTTTAAAAGGGAAGTGTGGAAGAGGTGGAAGCAAAGACAGATGACCTGGAGGGGATATAGAGACACTGTCCAAGGATGTAGAAATATGGTTAGAAAAGTCAAAGCCCACTTGGAGTTGAATCTGGTGAGAGATATGAATAACAGGAAGAGCTTCTACAGAAACATCAGCAGCCAAAGGACTAAGAAAAATATGGACTTGCTTGCATGCCCTGCTGCTCCATGGTGGGGCTGGCGACTTGTTGACAAAAAGTATGGAAAAGGCTGAGGTACTCATTATCTTCTTTACCTCAGTCTTTACTTGTAAGACCAGCCCTCAGTAATCACAAACCTCTACAATCAAAGGGAAAGTCTGGAGGAAGGATAACTTGTCCTCAGTGGAGGAAAGATGGGTTAGGGAACATTTAAACAAACTGGACTTGAAGAAACACTTAGTTTGCCAATGACGCTAACTTGGGAGGAACTGTCAACTCCCTTGAGGGCAGAGAGGCCCTGCAGAGAGACCTTGACAGATGAAAGAAATGGGCATCACCAACTGTGTGAAGTTCAACAAGGGGAAGTGCTGTATCCTGCGCCTGGGATGTATGGACAGGCTGGGGAATGAGATGCTGGAAAGCAGTGACAGAAAAGGGACCTGGGGGTCCTGGTTGATGACAAGTTGAATATAAGTCAGCAGTGCCCTGGCAGCCAGGAGGGCCAACCATGTCCTGGGGGGCAACAGGCAAAGCATCGGCAGCTGATCGAGGGAGGGGATTGTCCCACTCTGCTCTGCACTGGGGCGGCCTCACCTTGAATATTGTGGCAGTTTGGGGCATCACACTATGAAAAAGACATTAAGCCATTAGAGGGTGTCCAAAGGAGGGCCATGAGAATGGTTGAAGGGTCTGGAGGGGAAGCCTTATGAGGAGTGGTTGAGATCACTTGGTCTGTTCAGCCTGGAGAAGAGGAGACTGAGGGGAAACTCATTGCAGTTACAAATTTCTCATGAGGGGAAGCAAATGGGCAGGTACCAATCTCTTCACTCTTATGACCAGTGACAGGACTTGAGGAAATGGCATAAAATTGAGTCAGGGGAGGTTAGGTTTAGGTTTAGGAAAAGCTTTTTCACCCAGAGGGTGGTTGAGCACTGGAACAGGCTCCTCAAGGAAGTGGTCAAAGCACCAAGCCTGTTTGAGTTGAAGAAGGGTTTGGACAATGCTCTCAGGCACATGGTGTGATTCTTGGAGTGTCCTGTGCAGGACTCAATAGTCCTTGTGGATCCCTTCCAACTCAGCATATTCTGTAATTCTGTGATTCTGCAGGAATTCTTCTGACCTGATGGCATGGACCCATGAGTATTGAGGGGACTGGTGTGTATCATTGCAAGACCATCCTTGATATTCATTTAAAATCCACTTTGGATTTATGTGCCTTTTACCAGATGTACGCTCTCTTTTGGTTTGTTTGTTGTTGTTTGGGGTTTTTTTGTAAAACTGAGATCCTCAGTAAAGAATGCATTTTGGGGTTTTTTTGACTGCAAACAGCATACATTTATTTGCGGTTAAATATGATATAGGAGGCTTTCTAGTTATAGCAATAAACATACTAAGAAAATTTGGCTTCAAAGGCTTACTCAAATGAAA